GTTGTGGGGGGGGGGGGGGGGGGGGGGTGGAGGGGAAATCAATAGAAAGCTTTTCCTGTAATTGGAGTGCAAAGTTAAAGGTAGAATGTTTGGACATAGAAATCTGAATATCTGAAAGGCAGTCTGCCAGACAGACTATTCCTTCATGTATCTGAGGTTACTAGAACTGATTTGCAGTTCAGCTTGATGAACCATGAAAAAAAAGAAAAGTGAGACATGTATGAACGAGCGTGTTTGAAGGCTGACCATCTACCCTGTATGAAGCTAAGATATATTCACTGTTAATTTCAGGGCAATATCAAGCTGGATTTGTTTTTTCTTTTCAGAGAAGTAGGCTTGGCTAACCTTGAGTACAGTCAATTCATTAAAGTCTAATTAAATAAAAAAAGCAGCACTGCATTTCCTATGTATTGGGGGGGGGGGGGAGAAATGCATACACTTGTGCTAATGATTTGATAGTGTGATCAATGAATACATACAAAAGGGAATGAAGATGCACAGATATTCTCAAGTCCTGTATTTCTTATGGCTCTTGGATTTGAACACAATTTCTTTTTCTGAAGAAGATTAAGTGAAAAACATTCAATCCCATTAAGCTACACCATTAACTGTAATGATAAACAGTAATTAAAGGAATTTTTTTCATGTGCTACATCTGACTTTTCGTCATGACAGAACATAACAATTCTAGGTCTTGGTCAGTCAGTTCTCTCCAATTTTTTTCTGCTCCAATCTACACACGCATTAACGTTGTCCAAGAAAGTGACAGAAAACAGATCTTAGGTTTCGTACACTAAAACCCATCAGCACTGAAGAATTAAATATACTTGTCACTAATAAAAGGGACAGCTAAGGGAGAAAATATTCTCAGAACTAACATTCCTTTTTGGATTTTAATCTTTAAACCAAAATTAGGAGTGTTCTCATATTTAAAGGGATACTGGAATTATGGCACTGTTCAGGAATACAGGGATAACTAATCCAATTAATATAAATAAGGGAAATGTCACAGTTGGCTGAGTAAAGTTTTGTCATTACTTACTTCCCCACTGCATTGCAAAAAGCAACTGCGTTTTCATTACTCCCTTGCTTCGCTTCAACCAGTTGGATAGACCAACCTGCAGCCTAAAAATACCAGAAAGAAACCAGAAGATACAGAGCTCAGTTATTTAGATAACAGAAACAGAACAAGCATAAGGTTAACCTTGCATTTGGCTCTATGAGAACTACCCTCCATACCTTATCATCGCTTCACTGACTCGATGGAGCTCCAAATAAGCACAAATAACCCCATGGATTTTGACTGCACTCTTAATGCTTACAGAGATAAAATAGAAAGTCACAAAGCATCAGCTGCCCAGGGTTTAATCTTTTTTTTTTCCTCCTTGTAAAACATAAGCAATTTCCCACAAAGCTTTCAAAATTCACCTAGTATCAGACTGCAGAGGATTTTAAATGCGAAAGATGTATGCTTAGTTTACAAAAGGGAGAGGGGACAAAATGAAGCTTTTGCTGCAGTGAGTTTTAATCCTTAACTTCTCCCTTTCTGCCCTTGAAGGAAACTCAAGATTGCCTCAAACTCCATAAACCTTTCAGATAAGTCTGTAAGAAAGACAACAGGAAGCCAGCATATTCTGTCTGAACAGGAAATATCCCCGAGAAGTTTCTTTCAACTTTGAGAGCACAGGTCTGATCTTTTATTTTGGGTCAAAGCGCTACCTTGTCTATTTGCCATAGTACACTTCAATGAGAACATCACCTCCAGGAAAGGGTTTAATATTATTATATCTGCAAGCCTATCCTACAGTTGTACATACAGACATTTTGACTCACGGCTCAGCTGAAACACCAACCTTAAACCCCTGCAGAAAGAGGAAAAGCTAGTGATGTGGCACATAAGAGGAAACTGAGATATGGTACAGCGGTATTTTTCCCATTTTAATAATGAAAATATATTTTTTTTTCCTAGACAAAGAAATGCAATATATCTGAAAAGAAGGAGGCTGAGAAATTATTAGTTATAATTTAGAAGATGGGATAAGTATAGAAGATAAAAGATTGGTCAGGAGCTGGCTAATGGGGGAACCAGAACGGGCAGGAGCGAAAACTCAGAAGTCACAAATCCTTTATAAACACCTTCAGTTCTGACAGCGATTTTATCTAATATTTTCATTAGCTACAGTAGCACAAGCTTTAGGAGAGCACTAATGAAATTT